AGATGAATTTAAAACTTCCGTAAAACTTCAATCGGCCGACGAAATCCTATGCGAAAAGAAATTTATGAAGGGTCATAAACGCTTAGAACTGGGAAGGTATTCGGTACCATTTCCGTTCAAGGCGGAAAACCCAAACTTAGGTACTTCTCGGGAAGGGGCCATAAAACGTTTTAAATCTTTAGAATGCAAATTCCGAAAGGACGAGAATTTTAAATTATCCTTTTCGGCAGTAATTACAAACTATTTACAACAAGGTCATCCGGAACAAGTACCTGAAGACGAAATTGATAATCCACGTAGTTATTATTTACCACACCACGGTGTTTTTAAAGAAAGTACCACGACACAATTACGTATTGTGTTTGATGCATCATTTAGATCATGTAATTATAAAAGCTTAAATGACGAGTTATTAATTGGTCCAAAAATCCACTCGTTTTTATATCCAATGTTATTACGTGAAAATGTCACACATTATAATGATTTTAAGGTACTAACAAATATTTTCGAAATTGAAGAACGACGTCAGGCCGTCTATTCAAAAGCAGTAGTACAAAATAAAGGTCAATCACCATCAGATTTATTATTAAGGTACTCATCATTTTCAAAATTAATTAAGGTAGTAGCCTTTTCTTTACGATTTTTGTACCATATTATAAAATTAATTGTACAGCAGACACACTTGCGTCAGTTACATGCTGGAGCGCAAGCGACTTTAGCAGTTATTAGAGAAACATATTGGCCTATCGGGGGACGTGAAATAATTAGAAAAATTCTCCACGAATGTGTACTTTGCAGACGTTCGAAACCGATTCCCTACGAAGAAATAATGGGAAATTTACCCGAAGGTAGATTAAATCTAGTACGACCATTTCTTAATTGTGGGGTCGATTACGCCGGCCCAATTCTATTTCGAGAAGGGAGGGGTCGTGGAAAAAAGTCTATAAAGACTTATATTTGTTTGTTTATTTGTTTTGCCACCAAGGCAATTCACCTAGAAATAGTCACCGACTGTACTTCGTCAGCCTTTATTGGAGCCTTCAAAAGATTTATGTCTCGAAGAGGAAAACCTTCAAATATTTACTCCGATAACGCATCCAATTTTAAGGGAGCCAATCGCGAATTACGAGTCATACATTTCGGTGTTATTAAATCTGATGCATTTTATCCCACCTCGTTCACCACACGTTGGTGGAATTTGGGAAGCGGGTATTAAGACCATTAAATATCATGTAAAACGAGTTATAGGGCAGTCATTGTTCACATATGAAGGAATGTATACCTATTTGACATTGATCGAGGCGTGTCTTAACTCTCCACCTATAACTCCCATTATCCTCAAATCCCGACGAACTATCCGTACTCACCCCTGGCCATTTTTTGATCGGTACTGCACTTGCCGAACTTGATGTGGGCGATATCGTCATCGTGCACGAGGATAACGTGCCCCCGTTGTGTTGGTGTCTCGGTCGGGTTGAAATCGTACATCCAGGTCGCGATGGTGAAATAAGGACTGTGTCAGTGCGAACCAGAAACGGGATAGTGCAAAAATCAGTGCGGAAATTAAGCCCGTTACCAATGTAATGCGCAATTGGGCTATACATGTGTATATATATTTCATTTTATTATTGCACTCTTGTTAATTTAAATTTAATTCCTGTTATATAATCTTAGTTGACATGTATTCATTTAATTAGGGATTTTTTGTTTTTTTTTATTATTATTATGTATTAGTTATCTCAATAAGTAGGTCATCCTTGAAGTTAGTACTTCAACGGGGGGACTATGTTCAGTTTACCTGAACAGGGGTTTGGGCGTAGCCAATTTGTCCACCCTACTCCCACCCGTTTTAGGGTAGTTTACCTAATTTTATTATTTCATGCTCTCGGGGAGTCGTCGAGAAGTATCGGGAGGGTAAAGACGTGCCGACCCGAGAGACCGGCAATTTATATAATTTTTGTGCGATTAAGGAAACCGTGTAACTAAAAGGTGATTTTTATTTCGCGCAAAACAACACTTTTTTGCACAAATCGATTACTTTACTGTGAAAGTTTATCATGTTGCCACCAGCGACAAAAAAATCAGAATTTTTTATAACAAAACCTGATTATTTCAAATTTGCTAAAAAAACGACTGCAGTTTATTGTAGGTAAGTAAGGCTCATGTCGGACAAAAAAATTAGCTTACATTTGTCCTATAGTCTAAACTACGAATAATGCCTGTCTATGAAGAACGTCCATACTGGCGAACCCGTTACGCGGACTCGATCACCACGCTTCTAAACCAAATCCCAGTATCGTTCCAAAAAGTGAAAAACTTTTGCCAGAAACCAGAAAATCGGGACTACGTGAAAGGATTTGTGGATGCATATCGCGCCAAATACATAACAGAATGCAACCGAGGGGAAAAAACAGGCACCCAAACTTTAGAAGACACAGAGGAAGCTCTGAGAGCAACACACACGCTTTCACCTGGGGAACGTAATACGAAAAAGACACAAAACTTGTCAAACGCTATTACTTGCATTTTCCACGATTCGCTCGTCATGGAAGAGCTCCACCACGAATTTACTCCAGAGCTGGCCCGAGAAATAAATAAATTAATAGGCGAGGGGTTGTTCCAAACCGCTGGTTCGTACCGAAAAAAAGAGGTAAAACCGGCAGGATATGACCACTTGTATGTGACACCGGGTCTAATTGGAGAAGAAATGAATAAATTGTTTGAAGAAACTGGGAAAAGATTGTCGGAGGGTAATTACCAGTGGTTCCAAGTGGCTTCCGAATTTCTTGCGAGGTTTTTATTTATACATCCGTTTCCTAATGGTAATGGGAGAACGGCGAGAGTTTTAGTTTCTGCTTTACTTATAAAGTACACTCTAGTTCCTGTGTCCTTGTTTAACGTAACGTCTATTGACTATACGCGGGATCAGTCAAACGAGGTATATTTAAAAGTGTTGTACGAAGCCCAAATCCTCAATAATTTCCATCTTTTGAATTCGCTAATTATTGAGAGTACTTTTTTAAGTATGGAGTCGTTTTTGATCCACTTAGATGTGGATTGAAAAATATTTTTATTGTGATAATTATTTATTATGAAGAAAAAATTTTTTTGCGCTGCCATAGTTGTAATTGACATTTTACGTTGACACGTGGCGTGTCGAAATGGCAATGAAAAAGGATCTAGTGCCGCATAATACAAACGAGGAATTTAAGCTTTGAAAAAATAAATTGATTATCACAAAGTTATTACTACTAATTGATAATCATGTATCTAAAGTTATTATAAAAAAAGTGGCTCGAAATTTTAAAAAAGTGCAATTTAAGTTGTAATCTTAAATAGGGGAATTTGTTGATCAAAATTTGGATTTATAGTAATCTGACAGTTGACACTATTCGGTGGTTTGGTTTATGTTGTTGACAACTATTATGTTATTACTGTTTGTTAGTAGTTCTTGTTAATTAAATAACCGTTTAAACTTGACGTTATTCGCAACCTCACGCTGAATCATAATCACAAGATTCTCTCTGATCTGGAGCCGTATATAAAAATGTTTCCACTGGTAAGTATTTCAGACTTCTTGGGCTTGTGTCATTCTGCCGCTTTAAAAACGCTGTTAATTTATAAAATTTCGAATGATTTATGTTATGTTTGATGCCAAGAGTACTTTTCAGAACTGAATATATTGTCCACAGTGTGGATGCTTTCATAATTTCCGACTTAATTTGGAAATAAACCAAGAGCGTCGTTTCAGAAAATTCGCGTATTTTATTTTCTTCGCACCACTTGATGCATTTTTCATATTCGGCTTCATATGGATTTGTGGATTTTGCAGGCAACAAATTTGCAGTTGCTTTATCTGCAGTTTTCTGAATACGTGCACGAATTTCCATTTCAACTTTGAAATTCAAAATCTAGCCCGGACAAATTGACAGATTGGTATTTGACGTATTTGGTGATAAATTCAATACCAACATAATTTCGGTTCAGTAATATTTATTCTTTTAGCGATTGAAAAATGCTATTTTTTCAAAAAGGCAGCGCAAAAAATATTGTATGATACTCGTGTGAAAACTCCATTGCATTACTCACTTACATACAGCGCTCGACTGCGTCTCGCGCCGTATTCCCGTTCGTAATGCAATGGACCGTTTTCAACACTTGTAACATAAATAACTATTAAATCGCAACCTTGGCTTTTCTTTCTGGTCAATTTATAGACGCACATTTCAAGTGAAACTTATTCATCATTTTTGTTCAGTAGAGTGGAAATGGTGAGTGACGTGTTAGTGATTTTTTTGTGAGGTTGGCAACATATTTAAAATTTTATGACGGCCGCCAATAATTCAGAATTGCCAACCCAAAAATCTGCTTCAATTATCAATAGTCACCCAACGTTCCTTCGTTTTATCCTTGTTTTTTAACCAAAAGTGAAATCCATGATACTAAACCAAGGTATCACCAGTTACAACATTAGTTTACAAAATTCCTCAATTGTGTGTTGTGGTTAAAACTCGTAAATGTTTACAATAAAGTCCAATTTAAGAATGATTCTAAAATCTTATTCTTTGAACAAATTTGTTTTAATGCATTCTTGACGTGCGTTTGATGTCTGTTTTGGAGGTGCACTTGAGACAGAACAGATGTTAACTGTGTCTTTTATCTTACAAACAGACCCTTTAAAACTAACCAAGCTATTTATGACTTAATCTCCAATTCTGGCTGGAACTTTTAGCTTACACTAGAGAAAAAAACCGGTTTACAACATAACCTCACTTTTTCACACCGTAAAACTTTCATTTAAATGGATTCTTGTGTCGTCATGCTCGAATTTCGCCACAACTTAGTTTTAAATTGCACATTTAGTTGTAAAATATTATCTTTGGTTTTAATTAAAACTTTTCGAACCACTACACGTGTTACTTGAAACGTCAACTGTCATTTGTCAACTTTTGGCGCCAATTTGGAACAGGGAACCCGTTGAACCAATAATAATTCTCTCGTGTGTATAAAAATTTATTCCTACAATACTTTTCGTACATAACGTAAAAAATAGAACTACTCTAGAAGTAATAATAGACAATATAAAAGCTCCTAGTTTAACTAACATGATTCATGAAGGCATAAAGGCATGACGATATGATAAACTAGTCAGAAGTTATACTGCTAAATGTACCTAAAAAGGCAATAAATATTTTATTACATAGAAAAGTCTAGCAGAAACTGACAACAGGAATCGCTATAAGCTCAGCACTCGATAAATACCTCCTTATTTATTAGTGCTCTGATGTTAGTACTCGGTACTTAAAAATATATAAAACCTACGTATATATTCAAGTTCTACATTAAAATTTGGTTCATGAGCGACCGGAAAAGAACATGGACGAACAATGTGAAAAAGAAAACAAAAATAAAACAGAACTTTGAACGAGAACATTTAATCAGTCGCCACGTTTCCGTTGAGGGTGGGCTCCGGGTTGCCGTTCATTTGCGGGGTTGAAGTACCGTTGACGTGGGCGAATCCGTTCTGGGTGGGCTTCGTGGGGGTGGTAGCTGGGCTGACGATGCTGTAGACTTCACCAGTGACGGGATTTCGATCTACTCACAAAATTTTAGTTTGAATTGGCACGTGAATCGTGATTGGTTCTTACCATTGTGAGCCCTTGGTGAGGACCGGTTGGAGGTTTTTTCGTCCCAAGAGTCGACGCCGTTTCCGGTGACGGGATTGCGGTTCTTGACATCTGCAAAAGCGAAAAAGTTGGAATCTGGATTTAGGCAACACACAATACACCGGATTTTTGAAATCGGGTTGGGACGACGTTAGAGGTGAAGAAAGTCTGTTCAGGGAGTGGTACGAAGGAAATAAATCAGTTTAATTCAAAACAGAGGCTTCTAAATCTCGCGTTAATTAAAAAAATATATATATATATTAATTTAGAACTAGGCAACACACATTACACTACACATGGTAATCTTTGTAATGAACCTCTAGACCAGTGGCGTAGCTAACTTCCACTGACCCCCCCCCCGCGCAGTTTATAGTAAGCGCCCCCATACACCAAATTTAAAAAGTAATATAAAATTAATATGAAATTACTGGTTTACCAGTAGTGGAGCCGAATAACACAGATTTACAAATAATAATAATTTATACACATAATAATATAATTTTTAAAAATTGTTAATTGATTATACTGGCTTCATTCGACGTTGTCGAGAGTTCATAAATTCGCGTATGACACTGTCGAAATCTAATTTTTGGGATCGATCACACTCAATTCCTCGATTTTCCAATTTTCAATATTTAGATTTTACAATAATTTTCGTGTTTTCGACCCCAATTTTTCGATCTTTAAGTTTCTCAATTTTTAATCTTCCGATTTCTCAAGTTTTTAGATTTCTCGAGCTTTCATTTTATACTTTTGCGTTTTTTCATTTTGAGTTTTCAATTTTACAATTTTTCTATTTTATAACTTTTCCATTTTGTTTATTCGGAAAGTAGAAAAATCGGAAAATTAAAAATTGGAAAAAATTGAAGAAACAAAAAATTGCAAAATCGATAAAACGGAAAATCGAATGGAATTTGTTTTTACGATTTTTTAACTTCGATTTTTTAAACTTTTTAATCTGTATTTCAATTTTTCGATTTTTGGAATCTTCTGTTTCTCATATCTAGGTTTATCGATTTTTTTGAGATTTTCGATTTTTCCGTTTATCTTTTTTTTTAAGTAAATATTTCAATTTTGAATTTTCCGATTTCGGCCTATTTCGATTTCTCGATATTTTGAAGTCTCAAGTTTTCGATTTCGATTTCTTGGTTTTTCGATTTTCAAAATTTTCGATTTTTCTAGTATATATTTTAAATTTTCGATTTTTAAAATTTTTCATTTTTCCCTTTTATAATCTGTATGTTTCGATTTCCCGACTTTAATTTTTTAATGTGTTTAAAGTTTTCCATTTGTGGAATTTTCGATTTCTCATATCCCAATTTTCCAGTTTTAAAAATTTTTCGATTTCTCGATTTTTAAGTTTTCGCTATCTCAATTTTAAACATCGCAATTTTGGGAATTTTTCAATTTCTATACTTTTCAGATTTTCGACATTTTCATTTTCCCAATTTTGTAATTTTCATTTTCTTGATTTTATATCACAATTTTTCATTTTTCCATTATCATTATTTTTTCAATGTTTCTTTGGATTTTATAATTTTTTGTTTATTCCATTTTTTACATTTTCAATCTTTGATATTTTAAGTTCTTGATTTCCAATTTTTCTATTTAATAATTTTTCGATTTTGTTTATTCGAAAAGTTAAAAACTCGAAAAAATGAAAAATTGAAGCAATGAAAAACTAAAAACCGAGAAACTTAAAAAAAATTAATGAATCGAAGAATGGGAAAGAAGAAAAACCATTCGAATTGAAAAATTGGAAAATCCAAAAATTGTAAAATCGAAAAATTATAGAAACTTGAACATTGTGAAGTACAAAAACTGTGACATTCAAACACCGAAAAATTGAAAAATTCCAAAAACGAAAAAGTAAACAACTTTAAAAATTATAATTATTAGGAGTGGTAAATAATTAAGATGAAAACTAGAAAAACTGCAAGTGAAAAAGTAAAAAAAAAACGCAAAATTGAAAGCAGAAAATTGAAAAAATAAAGAAAATTAAAAACCCACAAAAATTGCAAATCGAAAAATTGACGAAATTAAAAACTGAAAATTCGTGAAATTTGCAAACTCTAAAATTTGAAACATCTAAAAGTTGGAAAATCAAAATCTGAAAAATCGAAAATTTTCAAAACTGAAAAGTCGAAAGATTGAAAAATCGAAATTTTGGAAAATCGAAAAACTGAAAAAAGATCGAGAATTCAAGATGTCGAAAAATCTAAATACCTAAAATTTAAAAAATAGAAAAATCACAATAACGAAAAATTTAACATTAAATAAAACACAAAATCAAAAAGTCGAAAAATCGAGAAATTGAGAAATGGAAAAATGAAAATTTAGAAAAACCAAAGATTGAAAAGCATAAAAAAAATTAAAATTGGGTATTCGGAACGTAAAAAAAATAAAATCGAAATATTGAAAAATTTTAAATTTAAAAATTCGAAAACTTGAAAAACCGAAAAACTGAAGAAATGAAAAACCAAAAATTCGACAAATTGAAAAATCTCAAAACTGAAAAGTCGAAAAATTGAAAAACCCAAAAATCGATTTCCGGTAAGTCGAAAAATCAAAATTTAAAAAGTTGAAAAATGAAAATATCAAAAAACTGAAAAATATAGACATTCTCAAAATTGAAATGTTGAAAAATTGAGAAATCGCAAACTTGAAAAATCCAGAATCGAAAGAAAGAACGAAAAGTAAAAACATTTTAAAATCGAAAAAACGAAAAATCGAGATGTAAGAAATCGAAAATTCCAAAATCGAAAAATTGGAATACACGTTAAAAAGGTTAAAATCGGGAGATCGAAGCATAACAAAACACAAAATCGAAAAATGGAGAATTTTAAAAATCTAAAAACTTGAAGAAATAAAAAATTGAAAAATGGAAAAGCCGAGAAATCGAAATTAAAAAATTGAGACATCGAAAGATCCGAGAAATGGAGAAATCGAAATAGACCGAAATCGAAAAACCGGAAAATTTAAAACTGAAATACATATTTAAACTTAAAAAAAACGATAAATCAAAATATTCAAAATTCGAAAAATCAGAAGTTTTAAAAATCGAAAGATCGAGAAATCGATATATCAAAAAAGTGAAAAATTTTAAATTAAAAAATTAGAGATATTGAAAAATCCCAAAATTGGGACAACGAAAACTTGAAAAATCGAAAAACTAAAAAATCGATAAATTGGAAAGAGGAAAAATCGAAAAATCAAAGAATTGATTAATAGAGAAATTGAGAAATGTAAAATTGATTTTTTTTTAAATTGCAAAAATTGTAAAACTGAAATATGGAAAAATTAAGTAAACTAAAAATCGAGAAATCAAGAAATCGAAAAATTGTAATTCAATTTTGCTTTATTTTTCCACAAAAATTTCGATGTCGAAGATAAAAATTCAACACGGATTCATAGACCATAGGAACACTGTTACTTTTTTTTTTAATTTATATAACATTTATTTGACCAAATTGTAGAACTGAAGAAACGAAAAATAGAAACATTGAAAAACTAGAAATCGAGAAAAAAATAATGAATCAAAGAACGAATTAAATCGAAAAACGTTCGTAAAGTCCAAAAACTAACATTCAAAGATCGAAAAATTAAAAAATTCCAAAAACGAAAAATTGAAACAGTGAACAACTCTAATAAAAATTATAATTATTATTACATATCTAAAATGAAAATTAGAAAACCTGCAAATCAAAAATTGAAGAAACGAAAAATTGAAAAATTTCAAATTGAGAAAAAGAAAAAATATAAAAACTCTATTAATTTACCTGATCTCATTTTCAATTCCAATGAACCCCTTCTTTAAAAATTGCACATTTAAAAAAAATAAATCGGTTACGGTCTGCGCCCCTTTTGACGCTGCGCCCCCCCGCATTGCGGGATCTGCGGGGGTGCTATTTACGCCACTGCTCTAGACGATAAGTTTTTCTTCGGAAAACCCCGTCGAACCTACCTTGCTTGGTAAGCGACGCCCTCCTCGGCGTGACCTTGTTGTCCGTGGGCCCGAACAGCCTGGTGAACGAGTCCGAATGCGACGACCTCCTCGGCGTGGAACTCGTCATCTTCGCCCCAGTGAGCCCCGGAGGCGAGCACAAGACGTTGAAGATCTCGCTGCCCGGATTGCGTACTCTGCAACAAAGGAAACCGTAATTGCAAGCGCCCTCGAGTGCATATCCTCCCGGAAGCGGCAATTAGGCGACTTCTTGCAAGCATGTCACCCGGTTTCGTGGCTCTTGCACATCCGCTGACGTGAGAGGATGTGGCTTATCACAGACTATCGTAAACACGAGTTCGACGATTGACGCTAAGTCGGCGCCCTTCAGACAGACGCCACGGAAAAATGGTGGCTCGCCGCACCCACGCAGGGAGATGATGGACTGGGCACAGTCATGCGAGAGGATCGCAGGCTTTGTTCAGGTGGTGAGTGCGTAGGTTTATGAAGTAGTGTTGAGGAAGTCGACGGCGATAATTTTATCAGGTTTGGTCGAAAACGTGATGCGTGTCGTGGGCTGGGCCGGCATGCGTTGGTGGACCCGGAAAATGGAGAGGATATTGGCGTTTAGGGCTTCCTGGGGTACGCGAGACGCGACAATGGAAAGGACAATGGGCAGGTGCGGACGGCTCCAGAGGCATTAATATTTTTTCGGTGACGTCACCAATTTGCTCGCTAGTTTCGGAGATTATCTGTCTAATAATACCAAACAAAAATAATCCTATAATGAGATCCATCTCCAGTGTTCATTAATTTCTTTTTTGTCTCCCGTCACGCCCCAACCTTGCCATGAACTCCCTTTTTGCTCCGGCTTACAAATCTTTCCTGTTAGCAACGTGTTACCTCTGCGTTAATTTTCTTTCATCACTTTCCTGCATTTTAAACCGTTAGGTAGATTATAATGACAGCTTATAGCACGTTATTTGCTGCACCTCTATGTTTTTCTCTTCACCACTTGAATTAGTTCAGTTTTTGTAGGTATTAGTTTCTTGCTAGAAAATTATTAGCGCGCTCATTTTGTTCACATTTTTTCGTTGTTTTTGTGTGCTTTCTTGGCAGCGATCCGTAATTGTCACAGTTTTATAAATCGGGATTAATTTTTTCTGTGTGCATTCGCATGCATGATTAAGTACAATCGATGTTATGACCGGAGGTTGTTCAACTTACTGGATTTTAGGCGAAATTTATTGTTCCGGTTTTAAAATCGTAAAAATCAGACAAATAGGACTCGTTTTGTCAGGATTTTTGACACCTTTAATATTGTCCTTCTTTCTTTGAGAAAATGATACTAATATAGATGTATATATTATACATAAAACTAAGTGCAGCTTTTTCCTTGTTCTGAGATTTCTCATAGAGACGAATAACAAAAAATCATTACGATTGAGATGTGGGGGAGGTATATCATGCCTTTTTTTCTTAACATACGACCTCATCTGTTTTAAGCTTTTGTTGTGAAAAGATGGCTAGGTATATTAAGAAAACAAAGCCAAAATATAAGCCCCGCCCACCCACCCAATTCAATTGTGATGATTTTTTTTATTCGTCGTGAGCCAAGAGGGCGGAACTGAATTGCAAAATTCTTATTTCTCTAGAAGAAATTACCATGTAAGACATGTTTTTGAGCATCGTGTTCTTCAAAAAATACAATGTATATTAAAAATTAAAGCCAAATTGAGATCGATACGGATGGGTGGGGCTTCTGTTTTTTCTTTCTTTTTTACTTAATACATATAATCTGCTTTAAACAACATTTCACGTAGCCATTCCTCGTACGAAAACAAGGATTTTGCAATTAAGCTCCGCCCCACGACTTACGACTGGTAGAAAAAAATCGTCACGATTGAGATAGGGCGGGTGGGCGGGGCTTATATTATGTCTTTTTTCTTAATATACATACTCATCTATTTTAAGTTTTTATTGTGAAAAGATGGCTACGTATATTAAGAAAAAAAAGACAAAATATAAGCCCCGCCCACCCACCCAACTCAATTGTGATGATTTTTTTTATTCGTCGTGAGCCAAGAGGGCGGAGCTGAATTGCAAAATCCTTATTTCTTTAGAAGAAATTACCATGTAAGACATGTTTTTGAGCATCGTGTTGTTCAAAACATACTATGTCAATTAAAAATTAACGCCAGATTGAGATCGAGACGGATGGGTGGGGTTTATCTTTTTTCTTTCTTTTTTATTTAATACATATAATTTGCTTTAAACAACATTTCACATAGTCATTTCTCGTACGAAAACTAGGATTTTGCAATTAAGGTCCGCCCCACGACTTACGACTGGTAGGCAAAAATCATCACGATTGAGATAGGGCGGGTGGGCGGGGTTTATATTATGCCTTTTTTTCTTAGCATACGTGGTCATCTATTTTAAGTTTTTGTTGTGAAAAGATGGCTACGTAAATTAAGAAAAAAAAAGGTAAACTCAATTGTGATGATTTTTTTATTCGTCGTGAGCCAAGAAGGCGGAGCTTAACTGCAAAATCCTTATTTCTCTAGAAGAAAATACCATGTAAGACATGTTTTTGAGCATCGTGTTGTTGAAAAATACTCTGTAAATTAAAAATTAAAGCCAGATTGAGATCGAGACGGATGGGTGGGGCTTATATTTTTTCTTCATTTTTTACTTTACACATATAATTTGTTTTAAACAACATTTCACATAGCCATTTCTCGTACGAAAACAAGGTTTTTGCAATTAAGCTCCGCCCCACGACTTAGGACGGGCAGAAAAAAATCATCACGATTGAGATAGGGCGGGTGGGCGGGGTATATATTATGCCTTTTGTCTTAATATACGTAGTCATCTATTTTAAGTTTTTGTTGTGAAAAGATGGCTACGTATATTAAGAAAAAAAAAATCAAAATATAAGCCCCGCCCACCCACCCAACTCAATTCTGATGATCTTTTTTATTCATCGTGAGCCAAGAGGGCGGAGCTGAATTTCAAAATCCTTATTTCTCTAGAAGAATTTACCATTTAAGACATGTTTTTGATTGAGATCGATTGAGATCGAGACGGATGGGTGGGGCTTATCTTTTTACTTTCTTTTTTACTTAATACATATAATTTGCTTTAAACAACATTTGACATAGACATTTCTGGTACGAAAGCAAGGATTTTGCAATTAAGCTCCGCCCCACGACGTACGACTGGTAGAAAAAAATCGTCACGATTGAGATAGGGCGGGTGGGCGGGGTTTATGTTATGCCTTTTTTTCTTAATATACGTAGTCATCTATTTTAAGTTTGTGTTGCGAAATAATGGCTACGTATATTAAGAAACAAAAGGCAAAATATAACGCCCGCCCACCCACCCAACTCAATTGTGGTGATTTTTTTTATTCGTCGTGAGCCAAGAGGGCGGAGATTAATTGCAAAATCCCTATTTCTCTAGAAGAAATTACCATGTAAGACATGTTTTTGAGCATCGTGTTGCTAAAAAAATGCTATATACATTAAAAATTAAAGCCAGATTGAGATCGATACGGATGGGTGGGGCTTATCTTTTTACTTTCTTTTTTACTTAATACATGTAATTTGCTTTAAACAACATTTGACATAGACATTTCTCGTACGAAAGCAAGGATTTTGCAATTAAGCTCCGCCCCACGACGTACGACTGGTAGAAAAAAATCGTCACGATTGAGATAGGGCGGGTGGGCGGGGTTTATGTTATGTCTTTTTTTCTTAATATACGTAGTCATCTATTTTAAGTTTGTGTTGTAAAAAGATGGCTACGTATATTAAGAAACAAAAGGCAAAATATAAGCCCCGCCCACCCACCCAACTCAATTGTGATAATTTTTTTTTATTCGTCGTGAGCCAAAAGGGCGGAGCTGAATTTCAAAATCCTTATTTCTCTAGAAGAATTTACCATTTAAGACATGTTTTTGATTGAGATCGATTGAGATCGAGACGGATGGGTGGGGCTTATCTTTTTTCTTTATTTTTTACTTTTTACATATAATTTGCTTTAAACAACATTTCACATAGCCATTTCTCGTACGAAAACAAGGATTTTGCAATTAAGCTCCGCCCCACGACGTACGACTGGTAGAAAAAAATCGTCACGATTGAGATAGGGCGGGTGGGCGGGGTTTATATTATGCCTTTCTTTCTTAATATACGCAGTCATCTATTTTAAGTTTTTTTGCGAAAAGATGACTACGTATATTAAGAAACAAAAGGCAAAATATAAGCCCCACCCACCCACCCAACTCAATTGTGATGATTTTTTTTTTATTCGTCGTGAGCCAAGAGGGCGGAGCTGAATTGCAAAATCCTTATTTGTCTAGAAAAAATAACCATGTAAGACATGTTTTTGAGCAACGTGTTGTTCAAAAAATACTATGTATATTAAAAATTAAAGCCAGATTGAGATCGAGACGGATGGGTGGGGCTTATCTTTGTTCTTTCTTTTTTACTTAATACATATTATTTGCTTTAAACATTTCACAAAGCCATTTCTCGTACGAAAACAAGGATTTTGCAATTAAGCTCCGCTCCACGACTTTTTTCGGGCAGAAAAAAATCATCACGATTGAGATAGGGCGGGTGGGCGGGTTATATATTATGCCTTTTTAGTCTTAATATACGTAGTCATCTATTTTAAGTTTTTGTTGTGAAAAGATCGCTACGTATATTAAGAAAAAAAAAAAAACAAAATATAAGCCCCGCCCACCCACCCAACTCAATTCTGATGATCTTTTTTATTCGTCGTGAGCCAAGAGAGCGCAGCTTAATTGCAAAATCCTTATTTCTCTAGAAGAAATTACCATGTAAGACACGTTTTTAAGCAGGGTTATTAAAAAAATACAATGTGTATTAAAAATTAAAGTCAGATTGAGATCGAGACGAGTGGGTTTCACATAACAATTTCTCGTAGAAAAACAAGAATTTTGCAATTAAACTCCGCCCCACGACTTACGACGAAAAGAAAAAAATCATCACGATTGAGATGGGGCGGGTGGGCGGGGTTTATATTATGCCTTTTTTTCTTATTATATGTAGTCATCTATTTTAAGTTTGTGTTGTGAAAAGATGGCTACGTATATTAAGAAAAAAAAAAGGCAAAATATAAGCCCCGCCCACCCACCCAACTCAATTGTGATGATTTTTTTTATTCG